TGTCCCCAAAGCCATGCACAATTCCCTCTGGAACACCACAACCATCTCCTACATGGGATGTGCTGCACAGCTCTTTTTCTTTACCTTTTTTATGTCAGCAGAGGTTTCCCTCCTCACCATCATGTGCTATGACCGCTACGTTGCCATCTGCAAACCCCTGCACTACGGGACCCTCCTGGGCAGCAGAGCTTGTGCCCACATGGCAGCAGCTGCCTGGGGCACTGTGTTTCTCTATTCCCTGCTGCACACAACCAATACATTTTCCCTGCCCCTGTGCCAGAGCAATGCCCTGGGCCAGTTCTTCTGTGAAATCCCACACGTCCTCAAGCTCTCCTGCTCACACTCCAAACTCAGGGAAGTTTGGCTTCTTGTGGTTAGTTGCTGCTTAGGGTTTGGTTGTTTCATTTTCATTGTGTTCTCCTATGTGCAGATCTTCAGGGCTGTGCTGAGGATCCCCTCTCAGCAGGGACGGCACAAAGCCTTTTCCACGTGCCTCCCTCACTTGGCCGTGGTCTCCCTGTTCCTCAGCACTGGCATGTTTTCCCACTTGAAGCCCCTCTCCATCTCCTCCCAATCCCTGGACCTGTCCCTGTCAGTTCTGTACTCGGTGGTTCCTCCAGCACTGAACCCCCTCATCTACAGCCTGAGGAACCAGGAGCTCAAGGACTCTCTGAGGAAACTGATGGCTGGATTTAGAGGCAATAATAAAGTGTGTCATTTCTTCTGCAGAGCAGGTAGAAGGTAACTACAGTCTGAGTTTTTTTTCTCCTATTTATTCTATTTTTTTGTTGATGCATTTTCTTGTTCCTTTTCTACATTTATAAATGTTGTCAAAAAATCAGTGGCATTGCTCATAAATTTCTACATTAATACCTACCATCCTTCTCTAATCCAAAGGCTTTTAAAAGGCTTGTTCTCTGTACATTTGAGTAGAATAAAGTACCCCGCCTTGATTCGTGCATCCAAGATGCTTCCTCAGCCCTTCTCTGAAGCTGCAGGGGCAGTGTCTGTGTGCAGAGCTGCAGGGAAGAGACTCCCAGCACAGCAGCACAGCCAGGGACAAGGGCACTTGCTCTTTCCACATCTGCTCTTTCCAACTCCACACTGTCCTTCTCAGCCCTGCTGTGGGTGCAAGGCCTGAGTGCTCTGGCAGCTTGGGCACAGTCCTGCTGAATGTCCGTGCTGGGATCACAGGCAGGGACAGGCCCTGGGCACTGCTGGCACAGAGCTGGGCTCCAGCCCAGCACTTCCATCAGCCAAGGGCATCTCCTGAGGGCAGGGCAGGAAGGCTTGGCTCTTCCTCCACAGTCCCTGTCAGCAATGTGCTCCAGGAATGCCCTGGCAAAGCAAATGCCAGAGCCCAGTTGAGAGTGGGAGTGTGCAGGGTGGGGGCACGCAGCAGTGTCCTGGCACAGCCAGAGCTCCTGGCACAGACTGAGGGAGCAGCAGAGCAGGAGCTGGGCTGTGTCTTTGTTCCAGGGACATCCTGGGAAGGTGCCCCAGGGCCACTGTCACAGAGCAGCCCCTGCAACCCCCATTCCCAGCCCTGGCCTCTCACCCCACCTGCACAAGGTTGGTTGTCCCTCCATGGAGCGACGTCAGGGGACTAAGTCAGAAGTCCATGTTTGCTTTGTACTGAGGACACTTCAGCATGTCTGCTCCGTCCCTGCCCTGCCTTCTGGCCCATCCCTTTCCCTGCCCAGCAGGAAAGCAGCCCAGCTGGGCAGCATTGCCCCTGTGCAGGCAGGAAGGGCTCTGCAGGCAGGAGCAGCACTGCCCTCCAGCAGAGGCACTTCTGCCCTTTCCCAAAGCACAGAGCACAGCTGGGCACTGGGATGCAGCCAGAGGCACCCACAGCTCCATGGGTCACCCTCTGAGCTGCCTGCACAGCTTCACTGAGCACCAAACAGAGAAAGAAATGCTCTCACTCACAGGAGTCCAAGCAGGGGAGAGGGGACAGGAGCACCTAAACTTTCCCTGGAAAGGGGACTAGGACAATCAGACACTGTCAATGGAATTTCCCCTGGTGGGAAGGGGGAATTTCCCATCCTTCAGAAAAACATCTTCCTCCTTCTCTCATGACCTGCCCCACGGTTGTTTTTGGGAACAGCCTCAGCACGGGGCTGGTGCTGGCTCAGGAAATTTGTGTCACCTACAGTCATCATTTCCTTCTTCTCCCAGATACATTGGGTGTCCCTGACATACTGGACCGCTTGCTGTGGGATTTCGCCCCAGTGCCTGAAATCTCCTGTAGTGTCACCAGGACACTCACGCCCTTTGTTTTCAGCAGTTGCTTTTTAGATCAGTCTTCCCCTTCTTGTTCATTAACTGAGGAGGAAATGAGAGATAGTTGGTCATCCATTTGTAGCCCTTGAACATTGCTCGCTGGAGTCATAGTTTAAGTTGAACAGTATTACAATTACGAGACTTTCAAAAAATTCCAGTAATTCCTGGATTAGGGACAGGGAAGCTGTTGTTGTTGGGACAGACATCACACTGGGATTTTACGCAGAAAAGCCTTTGTTTCAAACAAACATTGCCAATTTATAGTCTTTTTCTAGCCAGCATGTTTCATTACTATTGGTGTTTCTACCACATAAATGTCAAGATTGGCTGCTCTGTAGCTTCTGCAAACTCAGAATGATTCAGCAGACAGTTCAGGATTTCTGTCTATCACAGCTGCCCTGCAGCTCTGTCCTTCCTGTCCATCCTCTTATCTTCAATGTTTATATTCTTTCACAGCTTTGCAGCTGCAATGGCTCAAATTCATGGCCCAAGCTGTCCACAGCTCAATTGCCTCCCACAGGAAGGGAATTGACAGATGACTGAAACCAGTAGGTGATCCTACAAACAGCGCTCCTGAGTGAGGCCCTTTGGCTCTCCTGGGCTGCAGCAGCTGCACCATCACCTCCCTCTCAGTGGACACCTCTTGGAGCTCCCAAGCTCTCAGGTTTGTGGGACCCAGAGGACCATCCCTGAGAGCTGACGAAGGGGCTGGGGCTGACCCCTCACTCCTCACGGCTTGACCGTCACACGTTGAGAAATGCAAATGCATCAGACATGTGAATGTCACTGAACTCCAGGGGAAGTTTGGACAGGTACTTTGGTACATATATCTACAGCTCTACAGCTCTGTGCCTGTATGTGCACATGGGAATTAATTCAAATGCCCTCCAGCAAGCACAGTACTTGCCATCTCAGATCTGTAATTAAATCAATGGTGTAATTGTGGGAAATCACAGACTCACAGAATTGTTCGGGTTGAAAGCACCACTGGAGGACACCTCGTGCAACCTCCCTGCTCAAGCAGGATCCCCTTCAGACCTTTACTCCACATTCTCACTGGGCAATCTGTTCCAGTGCACGGAACTGCATGGAGTTGTCACCTCTGGACTCAGCGCTGCTGTGGCCACATCTGGGCTGGTGTGTCTGGGTGTGGGGCTCCCTGTTCTGCAGAAATGAGGAGGAACCAGAGACGCTCTGGAGGAGATCTGCCAGGATGGGGTTGGAGCTTGTGTGGAGAAGCTGAGGGACATGGGTCACTGCACCTTTGGAAGGGGTGCCCAGGCCTCATCCTGCAACTGTTTGAAGGAGTGTTTCAGAGATAACAGAGCTTTTCTTGGGAGTGGGAAGAGAAGGAAACCTCTACAAAGGGCAGCTTGTAAGGATCAGAGTTGAGGTGAGGAAAAAGAAAGCCCATACAAAGCGTAGGTGAGTGGTGCAAGAGGTCACCCAGAGGGAGTATTTGGATCATCCCATGGCTTTGTGTTCCAGGGAACAGCCAGAGATGGGTGCAGAGACATCAGTGAGGGTCTAGAAATGCTGCTGTGAGAGGCGTGGGAAAGCAGGAGGGATGTGTGCAGCCTGCAAGGCCAGAGGAGCAGCAGGGACAGGGCAGGACAGCCTGCAGGAGAGATGGCCAAGGGCTCTGGCAGGGCTACAAGGCCCAAAGGCACCCAGGCCTTTGTCCCCTTGCCTCTGGCAGCTGCCTCTGCCACTCAGCCCACCACAAGCAACTTTCCTGGCAGGTTCTGCCCTTGGTTTCTGCCTCGCCCCTCCCTCAGGAGCCTGGCAGGGATTGCCCAGTCTTTGGCCTGTTGTTCCTCCCCCTCCCATCCCACTGCCCCCCAAACAGCCCTGAGCCAGCCGGGAGGGACAGGATCTGCTGGGCCAGGGCCTGGGGCTCAGGCCTTGGCCTTTCTGCTCCACAAAACCAAGGCAGGCTTTGCTCAGCATTGCAGGGGCCTGCCCAGAGCCTTCGTCTGCCTGCACTCCTGGCCTCCAAGGAGCTGCTCCAAGGAGTCCCTGGGGAGGCTTTGTCAGTGCCTGCCCTCAGTGGGGCCCAGCAATGCTTCAAGGCACTTGCAGTTTGGCTTCTGACTTCTTCAGCAGCTGCTTCAATCTTCTCTCAGTACCTCAGGATCATGGGCTGGGCTGCAAACACACTGTGGGGCTCATTAAAACATTGAAAACCAAGTTATTTCCCTTCCTTTAATTGTCGTCAAGTCTTCAAGACTTCTACAGCTAATTGGAGTAAGTTTATAGTTTAGCTAAGGCGGAAGATTTTAAAGTGGAAGTCACGAAAATATATTTTTTTTGATGAAAGGGAATGATTTACACAGAGCCTTGGGATGCAAGAGGGTCAGGGCGCAAAGGATTTGGATCCAAAGACAGAGCAAAAGAGATTAGTAGCACCTAATTATTACGAACTGGACAGTTATCAAGGGTTTAAATAGCGTTTGCTACAATTTTAATAGTGACTGAATTGTAGATTCACAACAACATTCACACCACAGTCAATTCACACCCACACCCAGGCAGAGATGTGTGGACACATCAATAGCTGGGTGTGGAAAGGTCCCTCTCCAAAATTCTCCTGTTGTCAGGGAAAGACTCCCACAAATCTCTTTGTGTTTCCCAACAGACAAGGGTCACAGCTGGAGGAGTGTTTGTTGAGGGGGATCAGAATTGTCCTGGACATCAGGGATGGTCTTTGGAGTGTTGCAAACTGGAGGGTTCCCGAGCTGCAAAGAGGCTGCCAGAGGTGTCCCACTGAGAGGGAGGTGCTGGGGAGCTGCCAGGGCCTCCCTCAGCCCCGCTGGGTGTGGGCTCACAAGGTGACTGGCTTTAGTTATCTGCTGAATTTCCATCCTGGTGTCAGGAATGACTGGAGTTTCCAAACTATTTGGGAATTGTATCCAAACTCTTCCATTTGGGCTACGATTCAGGCAGGGAATGTTCCAAGGCTTTCATGGGATGACTGATTATCCTGTGTTCCCCAACTGTTCTACTCCGGATTGTTCCCACCTGTATCATTCAGGAGCACCTGGTCCAGTCCAGGGACACTTCCCCACACCCCTGGTCCAGTCCAGGGACACTTCCCCACACCCCTGGTCCAGTCCAGGGGCTCTTCATTGCTCAACTGGTTTGGTCAAGGTTTTTCAGGAGCTCCTGAGATCATACTTAGAAGAAGGATGGGGACAGACTTAGTTGTAATAAGACAAGTGATAGTGGTTTTCAACTAAAAAAGAGCAGATTTGAACTAGATATGCGGAAGAAATTTTTTACACTGAGGGTGGTGAAACACTGGCACGGGTCACCCAGAGAGGTCATAGAAGCCCCACCCTTGGAAACATTCAAGGCCAGGTTAGAAAGGACTGTGAGCAACCTGATCTAGTTGAACGTGTCCCTGTTCATTGTAGGGGGGTTGGACTAGATAACCTATAAAGGTCCCATCAGACTCAA